TGACAGACACTCCCATGTTATGGCAACCATCTCACAATGTCCAAGTGAAGATTAGCAATCTTACATTGACAGACACTCCCATGTTATGGGCACCAACTTACAATGTCCAAATGAAGATAAGCAATCCTACATTGACAGACACACCCATGTTATGGCAACCATCTCACAATGTCCAAGTGAAGATTATAAATCTAACATTGACAGACACTCCCATGTTATGGCCACCATCTCACAATGTCCAAGTGAAGATTAGTGATTTTACATATAGCAATCAGTTGCACACCAACCACTCTCTAAAAGTGAGCAATCATTAAATACTGTTGTTGACAGACAGTTTATAATATCTAAATTCAACTCAGCACAAAGCTGACTTAAAAAGTCAGTGACAAAAGTATGTACAGGTATCATTGTGAAATAATTTAAGGGGGAACTTTATAGCTAATAAAAGCAGATACAATATGGAGCCTTTGCAATTTTACAATAAAGGGTCTATTCTCTGTTGAAAAGATTTGTCTACAAGTGGAATGATAATAGTTTTAATCCTTTATGTWTGAATAGTAATGATGCAAGCAACAAATGTTGTCCTAAGATGGCACACATGCTAGATTATATGATGTCTTTTMACAGARTGTTGCTGACTGGATTTTGTCTTATTTCCCTTTAATCACATTAGACTTTGTTACCCACTCAGTTATCAAARAGTTGATATGCCAGTAACCATTACTTTTATGCCTTGACCTAGGATCTCCGCCGATGAGAAAGCAAGGTCTGCTTAGTCCACCACCTACTCCACCCATGTATGGAGGGGGACATGGTGTACCATCAGTCCCTGCAGCACAGCCCCCTATGTATCACCCTCCATCATCAGGGGGATGTGTTCTTATGGTGTATGGAATGGACAAAGACAAAATGAACTGTGATAGGTTGTTTAATCTCCTGTGTTGCTATGGCAATGTCATGAAGGTAAGCTATTTGACAATAATTCATTATTATTCAATTACAAAATGCAAACTAATAAAGAAAGTATCAACTTTAGTGAAAATATAGCACAGACACAATTGCCGTCAACAATGAATTACAGTAAGAATATCTTTCCTTTTAGATCAAGTTCTTGCTTGGTAAACTTGGTACAGCTATGGCAGAGCTGAATGACCATGTGGCATGTAATACTGTCATAGAGCACCTTTCAGGAATTGAACTTTTTGGCTCAAGAATGGACTTTGGGTAAAGTATTTCCAATATACAGAGATTGCATTAGACCAAGGTGTCTG